ATGCCCAGGATGTAACTGGGAGTTCCCCGGAGGGGCTAGAGTGGACTGCAGGGTTGGAGGAGCTATCGTTTGGTGCTTGGTTGGGCTGAGGGGGGCGAGTTATCGGTTGGCTGGTGATGGGGTGTTGTATTCTCTTCCCTTGTTATTTCCTTTATCATTACTATTATTGGTGGTAGCAGTAGTGATTTGTGTTATACCTTAGTTACTAAACTGTTCTTATCTCAACCCGTGGGAGTTGCATTCTTTCTGATTCTCCTCTCCGTCCCTCCAGGAGTAAGGGGAGGGCAAGAAAGGGGGGGGAGTGGGTAACAAGCTGTCTGGTTGGGTTTAAACCACGACAAGGTCTTAGTGTGGGCCTTCACTCTCCTTAGATTGAATAGGTTTTCATCAGTATAATATAGAATATAAATTCTGTTTTGTTAGTCAAGGTGTACTGTAGCCCTTTTGAGCATCATACTGAAGAAGACCGTGAATAAAGTTGGTGCAAGAAAGCAGCCTTGTTTCACATCATTGGATATTGGTAAGGGCTCAGAGAGTGCATTGCCGTATCTGACTTGGATTTTGTACTTGTTTGGTGGTGAAGTTCCAAAGCACTGGAGGGGCCCCCAGGCCTAGCTACTTACCCATATTATCCCACACACCATGCCACTTATGACTGTCAAGCCTCAGGGAAGATCTCTTGGTCCTCCTGTATTGTCATCTATCCCTAGACAAGACCTAAACCTGACTCTGCTTAACTTTCGAGATAAGACAAAGTAGTTGTGGGTAAAACACACTCTGTATGTGTGCAAATATGCTGATCCCCATCACAGTGAGAAGGCAGGTCTCAATGGTACGCAAGGGCCATTCAGAGCCTTCAGAACTCTCAAATGATGCTGTAAATGGTCTGGTGTGGGGGCTGGGAAGGTAAAGGAATGTCTCCTTCATAGGTTGTCCATCAGAGGAGGGGAAAAAAGATGCATCATTGCTAAACACTTCCATTATATACCTCCTAAAGTATAGAGATGGTGAACACATTGGGAATGCAAGCCAGATCAGTTTCATGATCAATGAGTCTATTGTATTCCAAGTCATTACCATAAAGTACAATGAAACAAGTACCTTAGCCCAAGGCCCCCAGCTGATAAACATTAAACCAGCAAATACTGGCTGTAAGGTACCACATGCTGAAATTCCATGATCAAGAGCAACAACTTTGAGAGCCAATGACATTGTGACAAGTGACTATTCATCCAAACCAGTAAATGCTTATCATAAAATATGATTAGACACACTCTGGTCAATTCTGTCATTATCTGAACACTTCGTGCCCCATGTTGAGTGCCACAAAATACTGTCATTCTTTAAGTCCACCCGGCAACCCAGAACCACACAGTCCTCACTCACTTCCCCCCTTCCTCCCCCCACTCCTGGTGGGATGGGGAAGAGAATCCAAAGAATGTAACTCCCACGGGTTGAGATAAAAGCAATCCAATAACTAAGGTATAAGGTTCGGTTGATATGCTGAAGGGAAGGGCTGCCATCTAGAGGGACCTTGACATGCTTGTGAGGTGAGCAGATGCCACCCTTATGAAGTTTAACCATGCCAAGTGCAAGGTCCTACACCTGGGTCAGAGCAATCCCAGGCACAGCTACAGGTTGGGCAAAGAAGAGATTCAGAGCAGCCCTGTGGAGAAGGACTTGGGGGTGATGGTCAATGAGAAACTGAACATGAGCCAGCAGTGTGCGCTCGCAGCCTAGAAAGAACTCACTTGGAGTATTGTGTACAGTTCTGGTATCCTCAACATAAAAAGTACAGGGAACTCTTGGAACAAGTCCAGGGGAGGGCCATGAGAATGATCAGGGGACTGGAGCACCAGCCATATGAGGATAGGCTGAGAAAGTTGGGGCTGTTCAGCCTCGAGAAGAGAAGGCTGTGTGGAGACCTCATAGCAGCCTTCCAGTATCTGAAGGGGGCCTACAAGGATGCTGGGGAGGGCCTCTTCATTAGGGACTGTAGTGATGGGACAAGGGGTAATGGGTTCACAGTTAAGCAGGGGAAGTTTAAGTTCAATATAAGGAAGAAATTCTTTACTGTAAGGGTGGTGAGACACTAGAACGTGTTGCCCAAGGAAGTTGTGAATGCTCCATCTGTGGCAATGTTCAAGGCCAGGTTTGATGGAGCCTTGGGTGACATGGCTTAGTGTGAGGTGTCCCTGCCCATGGCAGGGGGGGTGGAACTAAATGATCTTCATGCCCTTTCCAACCCTAACCATTCTATAATTCTATGATTCTGTCATTCTATGAATGCTCCATCTGTGGTGGTGTTGAATGTCCTTTCCATCCCTATCTATTCTATGCTTCTATGATTCTACAATGGCTGATTCCCTCAGAGATTGGATCTATTTCTCTGTCGTGGTCCAGTTCGCCATACGATTCATAAGATAGTCCTTTTATGGAAACCTTTCTTTTGCAGCTGCCAAGAGCCGCCTCTGAAGGCTGAGGGGCCGTTTCTCTTTTGCAATTGCATTGTCAATTCCCCCTTCCCTAGTATGTGATCCCAGCTGCTTAGCTTCCCTACCTTCTAGTTTGTGACCTTCATCCCCATTGTCCTAGCATCGGAGTAACCAGGTGATGATGTACTCCCCTGGATGACAGGTAATCCGCACTCTGTATGTGTGCTAACATGGTGATCCCCATCACAATCAGCAGGCAGGTCTCAAGGGTACCCAAGGGCCATTCAGAGCCTTCAGAACTCTCAAATGATGCTGTAAACGGTCTGGTGGGGGGGCTGGGAAGGTAAAGGAATGTCTCCTTCACAGGTTGCCCACCCGAGGAAGGGAAATTGTCACAGTATCACAGTATCACAGTATCACAGTATGTTAGAGATTGGAAGGGACCTCAAAAGATCATCTAGTCCAATCCCCCTGCCAGAGCAGGAACACCTAGATAAGGTTACACAGGAACGTGTCCAGGCGGGTTTTGAATGTCTCCAAAGAAGGAGATTCCACAACCTCCCTGGGCAGCCTGTTCCAGTGTTCTGTCACCCTCACTGAGAAGAAGTTTCTTCTCAGGTTTAAATGGAACCTCTTGTGCTCCAATTTGTACCCATTACCCCTTGTCCTTTCATTGTTTGCCACTGAGAAGAGCCTGGCTCCATCCTCGTGACACTCCTCCTTTATATATTTATATACACTAATAAGGTCACCCCTTAATCTCCTCTTCTCCAAACTATAGAGACCCAGCTCCCTCAGTCTTTCAAACACTTCTAATATATACCTCCCAAGGTATAGAGGTGGTGACCACACTGAGAACGCAAGCCAGCTCAGTTTCATGATCGGTGAGTCTATTGTATTCCAAGTCATTACCATAAAGTACAATGAAACAAGTACCTTAGTCCAAGGCCCCCAGCTGATAAACATTAAAACAGCAAATACCGGCTGCAAGTAAGGTACGACATGCTGAAACTCCATGATCAAGAGCAACAACTTTGAGAGCCAATGAATCAGCATTGTGACGAGCTGCTATTACTCTGAAACAATAAATGCTTATCACAAATACATTTAGACACACTCTCGTCTGGAGTGAGGAAGAAGTTCTTTGCTGTGAGGGTGGTGAGGCACTGGAATGGGTTGTCCAAGGAAGTTGTGAATGCTTCATTCCTGGCAGTGTTCAAGGCTGGGTTGGACTGAGCCTTGAATGTCATGGTTCAGTGTGAGCTGTCCCTGCCCATGGCAGGGGGATTGGAACTAGATAATCTTAAGGTCCTTTCCAACCCTAACTATTCTGTGATTCTATGTGTGGTGCTGAAGGCTGAGCCCGAGTCCATCCAGATACTGAAGGCAGAGCTTTCTTTTTTTTGTTCAGTCCAAATGTTATCTTCTTTCTCAACTGTGGATATGTCTTATAGGTCTTAGCTAAGTTCTCAAGAAGGTATATTTTATCTTTCTTGGACCTGTGGCTATTCGTGTTTGTGGAAATTTGCAGATATTGGTGGTGGCTGTTTTCCTGACATCCTTTAAAGCAGAAAGAAATGAATTTGAGCTTTCTCAAATGATGATACAAGCCAATATTTGTCCATTTCTTCAAAACCTCATTTGCTTTCCTTGTTGGTCAGAGTATGGTAGTAGAAAACTAATTTTATGGAAGCTTATTGTTACTGTAAATGTTCTTGTTCGGTACACAATGCTCTAAACATTAACTTCTAAATGTTCATAAAATAATTTGCTCTACCAAGTAGTTACTGATTTGAATATGACCATTCACCTTATTAGAATCATAAGTCTATAAATGTGTGCAGGCAAAAGGATAGGTATGAAAACACAGGTGATACCATGTGGCTTATTTCCCTTTGAGATTCTTCCATTACTGTGTGTTTTTCTTCTTTTCTGAGGAGATTTTGCTACTGTGTATAAAGGTATATAGAATCTGTGGATAAGCTAAGCATGTGCTGTAGATGTCTTTGTTTTTTGCAGTATGTCTTTATGGTTAGAAGGGACTACTAGCTTTAAAATTTTTAGTCATCATATAGGGCTCATTTTAATGATTGTTAACAAAGTGCAGTGCTTACCAGTCTTAGACAAACCAAAACCAACAAGCTGGAAGATCATAATGAAGAGAGTTAAAACTCTATAACTTGTAAATTGACTTTAGCCTCTTCTCTCTAAATAACATTTGAACTTGCTTGCTGATATATATGGGGATTAAAAAATTAACATAAAGCCACTATAGAATAGCACTGGCAATGTGGGGCAGGGGGGGTCATACAGTACCATACTTTTAATCGGGTATTGGAAGGAAGAAATTCCACTCTAACAACCCCAAAGGAAATAATTGGAAGATTTTAATGCATCAGCAAAATATTTGAATTTTCAAGTGAGTTTTAGGCTAATAGCTATTCTTACTTGGTCATCATTTGTTAGGAAGGTGATATCATTGTCAGTATTTTACAGTGAAGTTACTTTGTACTGTGGCCAGACAGCATAGTTCATTTCATCATAGTGTGCTCATCTCGATTGCAGCGCATCTTCGTTGCCACCTCTTGATTGGCCTTTACCAAGTCATTACGGGCAGTGTGAACTGAAAATAGAAGTCCAGCCTAAAACTCATCACAGAGCTCACTATGAAACAGAAGGAAGCAGAGGAGCAGTAAAAGCGTCTACTGGAGGATACCCTGTAGTGAAGGTAGGAAGTCTGGTTTTCTTGAATAGAAGATTATTTTTTGTAACTGCAATTATTGGTATTTATAATGCTGTGAATTGTTACCTTGTGTGAAGCTTACAGTCCTTCCTGGGTAAGATTTTCTCCCTTAAATGTAACTTGTTCAATACAAAAGTTATTTTTCATGTTCAAAAACTTAGTTTGCTACAGTTACAGTGAAAGTCACAGTTTTATGCTGCATGTAATTTTATGCTTGTGAATGGATTCACTGTGTGATAGTGTATTAACGTATTCAACATGAACTTTAAGGAAGAAGGGGTACACATGAGGGCAGATAAGAAAAATCACAATAATAGATTAGTTGAAGCTACACTGAAGTATGATATAGAATCATTTGAATCAGAAATCATCTATCTTTTGCTGTTGAGACAGCTTCTGATCACTGTAAATGCCTCTTGTCTGTGTTTTTGTTATGTTATTTCTATGAAATGGTACCCATACATTCTGTTAACTTTCACTTAAATGTTTGGAGTAAATTAAACTTGACTCTTTAGCATGAACCAAAGGTTATTACTCACAGTGTAATGGTAGCTATTCTCTTTAAAAAGCAAGGTATCACATAATATCATTAGATTTGGACTAGTTATCTATAAAGGCAAGTAGTTGTTGTTTTTGCGCTTTTTTGGGGGGGGGGGTGGGGGGTGGTGTTTGTTTTGGTTTTGTTTTGGTTTGTATGTCAGTTCCAGAATCATGCAAGATTTATTGTCTCTTAGGACAGTTTCAATCACAGAATCATAGAATGGGTTGGAAGGGACCTTAAAGATCATCTAGCTCACCTCACACTTGACCATGTCACCATGTTCCACTAGACCAGGTTGCTCCAAGCCCCATCCAACTTGGCCTTAAACACTGCCAGGGATGGGGCAGCCACATCTTCTCTTGGCAGCCTGTGTCAGTGCCTCCCCACCCTCACAGGGAAGAATTTTATTTTTTCTAATACATAATGTAAATCTACGTTCTTTCACTCTACCCTCTTTTGAGTTTTAAGAAAATTCAGAAGTGCAGGCAACAGTCCTCATCTGGCTAAGAGGGTGGTGATGTACTGATGGTTTTGATAACTGGTACCTGCCATTACTGGTTGCTTTGGCTGGGTTCTTTAGCTAATGCTAAATATTTCAAATGCTAATGGCATCTAAAGTGTATGATTTAAATATTTTGCAAATACCATCCAATTATTGATGAGCTCAGAGTTAGATGTAAGGTCCTGGTAAATCAGGCTTGGCTCTCATAAGAAAGCTTTGCTGTCATATTCTCTTTGAAGGGAAACGTGTGGGCTTGGCATATGCAGGTATAACTGTGTGCGCAAGCTGTGATGTGTTTATGACTTTTGGAGTTCAGGTGTGTACACAATATCTTACTCTATTCTGGGAAGACTTCTGGACTAGTTAGGGATAGCCACTGATGTCTCCTTTAATATCTACGGTGACAGATGGCTTGTGAAATTTAAAAGGGAATCCACCCTCTCATTCACTGGGCATGGAGAAGATTGTGCCAAGGAACTATAGGACTTATTAAGTTGTCTTGATTTATCAGTTTGTCATATTCTTGGGTGAAAGCAAGATCTCTGTACTTATTCACCTCAATTTTGTTTAATAGTCTTTATCTTAATCCTAGTCCAGGTTCAGATAATATTTAACTGTTCATTTATAAGGCAAATCAGAAAACAGTTATAAAATATTTATAAGACAAATAGGAAAGGAAAAAAATAATCTGATGATATACAGGTTACAGTAGGGTTTGTCTTTTCCCCCAAATCTGGGATATAATCCATAATATTTCCACTTGCAGGAAAATGTCAGACATGGTTTCAGTCCTTAATATTTCACTATAGCAGTCTATACTTTAAAAATGTATTTGATCTACTTACCCTATTCCAGTGGTTGGAAATAACTCACCATTATATGAGATCAGATGCAAAGTGCTCATAGGATTGTCATAATCAGTCCCCATTCATACTGTAGTATAAACATGTTATCTTTTTCCTTTTATAGTTTATTCCTTCTCTCTGGCAAGTAAATTCTGTCATGCTTTATAATTACATCAGGTTTGGAACACCTCTAATGTTATAGAGCTGTTATATATATAATAGATGAGGTGAGTAGCTTGAGAGAGGATGCCTTCAACACCTGAGCGGAGGGAAGATCAGCATCCAGGAGCCTCAGTTCAGAGCAGCAAGAGCCACCGAGGGAGCCTCAAGTCCTCGACAGGACTTGCCCAGAAGCCGGCAGCTCAGCTGACACGAGCAGCTGACTCACAGGGGGTGGCACCAGGAGGAGCGGCATCAGCCGTGACTGTTTAAAAAACTGCCCCAGGGAGCGCAAGTGACCAGGAGCTGAGCTCGAGGCAGTTTGCATGGCAAAAAGGGCAGGTAGAGGCAGTTTGCATGGCAGTTTGTGTGGGCAGGAGAGCGGGATGATGAGCACTCGCCTTATGACCAGGACCCAGTCTGGGAGCTCTGCTTTGGCTGCCCTGGCGGTGGCCAGTGTAGGCACCCAGACAGAGCCAATGAGAAGGGAGGCTGCAGCGCAGAGCTCAGAGTGTAGATAGTGCCTGCACTGGTCTCTTGAGGCGAGGGTGCACAACGGGCAGAGCTGCACTCAGGGCTCCCTGGTGGAAGTCTTGCTGCAGCAGGTGGCTGAGCTGTGGGATGCTGTCAATAGGCTGAAAGATATCAGGGAAGCTGAGAGGAAGCAGGACTGCTTGCTCCAGGCCCAAACTGTGCAGGGGCCTCAAGTGTCCACTGTAGCTCATGGAGGAAAGAAGGAGGCTGTTAACCCAGGAAGCTGAGAAATAGTAACAAACAAAAAAAAAAAAAAATAGGAGGAAGAGGACAATTATAAGCAAGGGGCTTCCTCCTAAATCTGGTGTCCCCACCCAGAACCGTTTTGCAGTTCTGTAGGGGGCTAATGAGGAAGCGCACTTGCACCAGGAACAAGCGGCTGATGCACTGGTAAAGATCACTACTGGTGCTGCCAGGAAAAAGCTGCTGGTCATAGTGGTAGGGGACTCTGAAAGGCACAGAGGCATTCATCTGTTGGCCTGACCCAGTCTCAAGGGAGGTGTGTTCCCTACCAGTGGCACGGATCAGGGATGTTGCAGAGAGGCTGCCTGGTGTAATAAGTCCCACTGACTATTACCCACTTCTAGTGATTCATGTGAGTGCTAGTGATAGATAGCAGTAGCCTGCAGAACATATAATGGCTACAGAGCCCTGGGAGAGGTGGTTAGGGTCTCTGGAACTCATATAGTCTTTTCATCAATTCTCTGTGATAAAGGGGGGGGACCTTAAAAAGGCTAGGAGGACTGGCCAGGTTAATAAATGGTTAGAAGGGTGGTGCAATAGTCAGCGGTTTGGGTATCTACAGCATGGGACTCAATCTAGGAGTCCAGCTCTACTGGAGGCTGGTGGAGCTGGTCTGACAACGAAGGGGAAGAGCGGTTTTGATAGGATGCTTGCCAGACTGGTCAAGAAAGCTTTGAACTAGATTTGTTGGGGGAGGGGGTGCATCATTCCACCCCAACATACACATTCAGTTGCCAGCACCTATAATAAATGCTTGGGGCAATGTAGAGATATTCCAGCTGCTCCAGCCAATGAGCCGGCTTTATTTGGAGCTTGGCTCAGATGCCTCTGTACAAACACCTGTAGCATGGGGAACAAACAAGAGGAAGTAGAGATGTGTGCACGTCTACATGGGTATGATATAATAGACATCACAGAAACATGGTGGGGTGGCTCTTATGACTGGAGTGTTGGAATGGAAGGTTACTGTCTTTAGAAAAGACAGGCCTGGCAGAAGGGGAGGGGGAGTTGCTATTTATGTTAGGGATAGGCTGGAGAGTATGGAACTCTGTCTGGGGACAGGTGATCAGTCAACAGAGAGTCTGTGGGTCAGGGTTAAAGGGAGAATAGCTATGTGAGACATTACTCTGGGGGTCTGTTACATACCACCTGTTCAAGAGGAATCTGTGAATGAAGCATTCTATAGACAGATAAAAACAGTTCACAGGCCCCTGTCCTCATGGGGGACTTCAACCACCCTGATATCTGTTGGAGTGACGGTATGGCACTGCAGAAACAATCCAGGAGGTTCCTTGATTGTGTGGAAGACAACTTCCTCTTGCAAGTAATAGAGGAGCTGACAAGGAGAGGTGCCATGCTTGACCTCGTGCTCACCAACAGGGAAGGGCTTGTTGGAAATGTAACGCTCTGGGGCAGCCTTGGTTGCAGTAGTCATGAGATGGTCAACTTTGAGGTCCTCAGGACAGTGAGAAAAGCGTGCAGCAAGATCACTGCCCTGGATTTCAAGGGAGCAGACTTTGGCCTCTTCAGGTACCTGCTTAGTAATGTTTCATGGGATGTAGCCCTTGAGAGCAGGGGGCCCAAGACTGTTGGTTGATATTCAAGGATGACCTGCTACAAGCTCAGGAGTGTTGCATCCCAACTAAAAGGAAGTGCAGCAGGAGGGCCAGGAGACCTCCTTGGATGGATAAGGAGCTGTTGAGGAAAATTCAAATGAAAAAAGAGGCTTATAAAAGGTGGAAGCAAGGACAGGTGGCGTAGGAAGAATACAGGGATGTTGTTTGTGAAGCTAGGGACGAGGTTAGGAAAGCGAAGACCCAGTTAGAATTAAACATGGCTAGGGATGTGAATAGTAACAGTAAGGGTTTCTATAGGTACGTAGTGAATAAAAGACAGACTATGGACAACGTAGGCCCCCTCCGGAAGCTATCGGGAGAACTGGCTACCCTGGATTTCGAGAAGGCTGAGTTTCTCTATGACATCTTTGCCTCAATCTTCACTGGCAAATGCTCTGACATCACTTGGAAGGCAGACGCAGGGACTGTGAGAATTAAGACCTTGGGCCCACTGTAGGAGAGGATGTGGTTCGAGACCATCTGAAGAACCTGAACGTACACAAGTCCATGTGTCCTGATGAAATCCACCCGCAGGTCCTGAAGGA